GGGGGTGTCGCTTCTTGGACCGCCTTCGCGAGAAATTAATATGCGCGCCGCGGCGGTATTTGGGAGAAAGGTGTGCCTGAAAGTGGGGAAAAAATGATGCCCGTGCTGTGTGTGGTCGCTGGCTATGTTGTTCAGGTGTCAGAATTGGTTTTTGAGGCGTTTGCTCGCCTATGGAGATCGCGCGAGCTGGATTTCTGAGTACCACCTTTGTCCGAGAAAGGGGTTGGGTATACCCACTTGTGTCCATTTCCCATATTGGTATATATACCGCATTCGACGCAAGATAACACACCCCCTAGGACCGATTTTCGAAGGTCGATTAGTCCACGACGAAGAAGAGGATGCACAAACGAAACGATACATTTTCGGAAAGCTCTCGACCAGACGGCTTCGACGCCGCGGTTTTCGGCGCTGTGACTCTTTCTGCTGTTGAGAAATCGAGCTTTGAAAATCGGTCAAGAGGGTGTGTTATCTTGTACTTCTATCGTATACGGTATGAGGAAAATAGAACAGGGAGGGGGTACGCAGAACCTATGGCCTAACACCTACCCCAACCCAACGTTCCCCATTGCATGCCTTATCCAACATGTTTGCTTAGTACAAGAACCCTGCGAAGGCTAATGCGCTTCGTTTTTTGCCTTTGGAGCGCAAACACCGAACCCTCGCCAGAAATCGGCACGGTTCCTGTGTAGAGAAAGCACGGCGGTAATAGGAGTGCGGGCTAACTATTTCAGCGCACAGGCAGTTAGGTGTGGGCGATCGATTGTCAAGAAGATCGAGTGCTCCACAAACCAAGAGAACGGGGGTGTGAGTTAACCCGGCCGACCAGTGCGTCTCACGAAAGCTACATGGAGTTGGCGCCGAGGAAGATCTACGTTTGCACGTGCTTATTATTTTTTACTGTGATAAGTAGGATTTAGTTTGGCGTTCGTTAACCTAGGCAGAGCGCGGCTGCACGTAAGAACCTCTGGTTTCGGCCGAGGCTGGGGTTCTTGCTGTATTCCGAAGGTCGTGCTACGAATGGCTACTATTATATACTGGTGGGTTTTAGTGAATGGGTTCTTAACCGAGCTCGCGAATAGTGCTCAAGTTCTTCACTTTTGATATATTTTTAGGCTCAATTTCTTAACTCCCAGGTATCTTTTACAAGAACCTTTGGTTATGGCCGAGGCTGGGGTTGTTACCGTATTCCTAGGGTCATGCTACGAATGGTCGCTATATAGGTTTTAGTGTAGGGGTTCTTAAGCGAGCTCACAGATGGTGCTCACGTTTTTAGTTTTTGAGTCTTTCGAGGCTCAATTTCCCACACTATTTCGAAGTACACTACTTCGTAATACCAAGTTGTTGCGTGTAAGCGGAAACTGCTGTAGCTTTCCCTTGGACTCGATGACGAGATCTTTCCAGTGTACAATAGCCGTTTGATCTTGATTTTTCGTGGCTCAAATCCCTTTACTAGTAATACCAAGTTCTTGCGTGCAAGCACTAGTAAACTGCTGTAGGTCTCTCTGGACTCGAGGACGAGATCTTTCCAGTGCACCCGTTTGGTTTTTAGTTTTCGTGGCTCAGAATCCTTAACTATCAATACCAAGTTCTTGCGTGCAAGCGCCTAGTAAACTGCTGTAGGTCTCTCTGGACTCGGGGACGAGATCTTTCCAGTGTAGCCAGTCTGTCTGGTAGGCTGCGGCAGGCAATGCCTTCGCTGCAGGACCGGTGTCGCGAGAAATTAAGCTCACGAGGAAGTAGAACACGGAGGGGGGGACGCAGACCCTATCCCTAACCCTACCCCTTGTACTCGAATTCCCCGATTGCAGGCGCTATCCAATGTGTGCATGAAGTAGAAAAAACCTGCTAAGGCTACTGTAGCTGTACGGCTACCCGCCAGGAGATGCAGGGTACCTGAATCTCTCTCTTTCTCTCCTTCCCCCCCCTCCCTTTGTCTCTGCCTTGTTTTTTCTCTATCTCTCTCTCTCTCTCTCACACACACACGCACGTATACTCGCTCTCTCGCCCAAATAAAGACACTGCTGGTGGTGCTGTTGTTGTTCTTCGCCGTAGCAATCTCTCCGGTCCTTACTCTCACTCCAAGTCAAGTATCAGTGCTGGTCCAATTGTCTTTCTCGCACGCTCTCGCTCTCGCGCTCTCTTCTTCTCTCTCGTCTCTCACGCACACTCTCGTACACCCTCTCTCTCTGTCTATCTCTCTGCCTTTTTTTCTCTCTGTCTCTCACGCACACTCTCGTACACCCTCTCTCTCTATCTATCTGTCTTTTTTCTCTCTGTCTCTCACGCACACTCTCGTACACCCTCTCTCTCGATCTATCTCTCTGCCTTTTTTTCTCTCTGTCTCTCACGCACACTCTCGTACACCCTCTCTCTCTATCTATCTGTCTTTTTTCTCTCTGTCTCTCACGCACACTCTCGTACACCCTCTCTCTCGATCTATCTCTCTGCCTTTTTTTCTCTCTGTCTCTCACGCACACTCTCGTACACGCTCTCTCTC